AAGTATGGATTTCGATAGTTAACAACTAAGTGGAAACCTTTAGCTAAACCCAAATGAAAATAAATTCTAAAAATTTGTAATCATATTCTGGGTGTCTGACCCCAAATATAGTGAAATAAACCAAACGAAACTATACCAAAATATTATTATTTGAATAAAATAGAGTCAAAATTAAATATTTTGAGAGAACATGATATTTTCATTTATTATTTTGAAGTCAATAAAAATATTTATTTTTTAATAAACTAGAGTCAAAATTAAATGTTTTGAGAGAACATGATCTTTTCATTTATTATTTTGAAGTCAATAAAAAATGTTTTATTTAATAAAATAGAGTCAAAATTAAATATTTGAGAGAACATAATATGAATTTGAATGAAGAAAAATTCCAATTCATGAGTAACATAATATGAATTATCGGTTTATGAGTAACATAACTAATAGTTTGTTTGATATTTTTTTAATGAGGAAAAATTATTAGGTACTCTTGGAAAGTCATGCGTTTATGTTTTGCAGTAATCATCCATTGCCTTTAAGTAAAAATTGATTTATTGACCTCTTAATTTATAAATAATATGACTAAAAACTTGTTTGATATTATTTTTTTAATGATTTCTTTGACTTTTTTATAAGTTAAAAAAGTTAATATGAAATTGGGTTGCTTTTTATTTTTTATTTTTAACGGGTGATAAACATAATTTTTTTTATAAATTTTAATTTTTTAAAAATCAATTTTCACAAAATAATGTTTTGTTGGATGAATACAAAATAAGGTAATATTCCTTACAGTGTACCATAATATCTATACAAGTGATTGGACTTACAGATTTTCGTAAGTCAGTATTATTTGGGTGAGTGGCAAATCAAAAATGAAATTTACCTACTTAGTTCTAGATTATGCCAACCAATTGATGTACAAACTGAATAAAAAATTCAATATACAACCATAAAGTGAACAATTCATGCTATGTATATTAGTAATTATGTGTAACAAATAAAGAATACTCTAACTGTATATATGATTAAAGCAAATTGACTTTAACACATCAACTTCATATATAACATATACAAAATGAAAAACATTATACAAATTCATAAATTTTATAAATTATTCTTAATAATTGATATATCATGTACTAATAAAATTTTTAAAATTAAAGCATGAATTATGTCAATGATGTAATAGGTGTTATACTAGTAGTTAATTTTTTTTTATAATACAAATTTATTAATATATATAACATTATCAATTTAAAATAGGGATAATTGGTGAACAGTCCACACTTGGTGAACAGTCCACACTCATGGGGCCATATGTTATTTGGTTCATGAAAAATTCCAAATTCCAATTCAAACAAACTCTTAGTTATGTTACTCATAAATATCTGAATTCATGAATTTCATAAAATGATTTTCAATTTTCAAGTCTCAATTATATGAATTTCATAATATGACATTAACAATTATCAATTATATGAATTTCAATTTTTTTAATTTTATTCTTAGTTAAAAAAAATTACTTTTAAAACCCTAATTTCAAAACCTAATTTCCTTTTAATTCCTCTTAACAAGCAACAAATAAAATTTCCATTTCAACAAATATAGGTTGATAAATTTTTTAGTTTATGTGGGGTTAAAATTTCCTCTTAACCCCATATTTTTTAGTTTATGTTTTTAAATTTTTTAAAACATTTTGTTCAAACCGTTTATAATTTATGTTTTTTTAAAAATAAACAAAAATCAGTTTATAAAATTTTTGTAAACATAAACAAAAAACGTAAACGTTATCAAACGCTATCATATTGATGTACAAACTGAATAAAAAATTCAATATACAACCATAAAGTGAACAATTCATGCTATGTATATTAGTAATTATGTGTAACAAATAAAGAATACTCTAACTGTATATATGATTAAAGCAAATTGACTTTAACACATCAACTTCATATATAACATATACAAAATGAAAAACATTATACAAATTCATAAATTTTATAAATTATTCTTAATAATTGATATATCATGTACTAATAAAATTTTTAAAATTAAAGCATGAATTATGTCAATGATGTAATAGGTGTTATACTAGTAGTTAATTTTTTTTTATAATACAAATTTATTAATATATATATAACATTATCAATTTAAAATAGGGATAATTGGTGAACAGTCCACACTTGGTGAACAGTCCACACTCATGGGGCCATATGTTATTTGGTTCATGAAAAATTCCAAATTCCAGTTCAAATAAACTCTTAGTTATGTTACTCATAAATATCTGAATTCATGAATTTCATAAAATGATTTTCAATTTTCAATTCTCAATTATATGAATTTCATAATATGACATTAACAATTATCAATTATATGAATTTCAATTTTTTTAATTTTATTCTTAGTTAAAAAAAATTACTTTTAAAACCCTAATTTCAGAACCTAATTTCCTTTTAATTCCTCTTAACAAGCAACAAATAAAATTTCCATTTCAACAAATATAGGTTGATAAATTTTTTAGTTTATGTGGGGTTAAAATTTCCTCCTAACCCCATATTTTTTAAAATTTCATTCCTCTTAACCTAATTTTTTTAAAATTCTAACAACAAATAAAAAATATGGGGTTAAAATTTTCATTTCAACAAATATACACAATTCAAAATTCCAAAAAAAATATAGACATTTTGATTCACAAGCATAATTTCAAAATTCCAATTTTTGCTTTCAAATATCAAAATATAGACATTTCATAATTCCAATTCAACAAATATAGGTGAAGAAGATGATTTTGTGTATAGATCAAATATAGACATTTAGCTCAAAATGTCTATATTCCAATTCAACAAGTATGGCATCTAGCTCAAATATAGGTGAACAAATATTGGTGAAGAAGATGTCTATATTTTCTTCAGAAGATGATTTCGAAATATAGACATTTCAAATTATTCACAAACATAATTTCTGATTTCTGATTTCTGATTCAGAAGCAAAATTCCAAACCCTAACATTTTCACAACACTGATAAAAAACCCTAACACATTACAACCAACACATTTAATAATTGACATTTAAAACCCTAACATTCACATTTTCACAAACACACATTCACAAACACAATAAATAAATACATAAAATTCAGAAAAAAAGATAGAGCCATACCACGGAGACAGAGACAGAGACAGAGAGTGAGAGCAGCGGGAGAGCGAGAGCGACAGTGAGAGTTGAGCAGAGGGAGATCGAGAGAGCGAGAGAGTGAGAGAGATCGAGAGAGCAGAAGGAGATTGAGAGCAGAGGGAGATCGAGAGCTGAGTGTGAGGAGTGTAAAAAACGTGGCTTGGCTGTGTTTTATTGTGTCTGAAAGCGTTATTAGAAATGGCGATTTTGTAAGTGCACAGCGAAGGCGCTATTCGGAATAGCGTTTTCTTCACAAACCAAAATTTGCAACAGTGAAGGCGCTATTCGGAATAGCGTTTTCTTCACAAACCAAATGAAGCGCTATTTGCAACAGTGAATGCGCTATTCGGAATAGCGTTTTCTTCACAAACAAATGAAGCGCTATTTGCAACAGCGCTTTCTTAATCAAACTCGCGAATTGGAATAGCGATTACACTGTTCATCAAATTTCGACCTCCTCACAGTAAAAGCGCGAATGGGAATGGCGCTTCAGCTTATTTTGGGAATTTCCTCAGAAGTTGGCCTAGTTTGGGAAATAAAATGCAAAATAGGCTTATTTTGGGAAAAAGCCCTGGATCCGATGATTTGAAGAGAATATAAAATGGAAAACAAGGCAGTGTTTTGTTTGGCCCTTTGGAAAAAGAGGATTTGATTTACTTGAGTTCTTGGTTAGAGGCTTGTAACTATCCCTTTGAACTAGTAATCCCATATGATAAAACCAATAAAACTATGGAGGGTTGAAATTAGAAATTGAGTGAGAAAATTGATAAATTTTTAAATGATTTTTAAGTAAAAATTATATTTTTTAGAATAAAAAAATAATTATGATATTAAAAAATATTAATTTTATATATTAAATATTATCTATAATATTATTAATCCGGTAGTGTATAAATAAGCACTCTTTATCCTATATCTCTAATATGATATCACTATATTAACAATCTATTCACTTAATCTCACTATACTCTTAAACTCTTCTATCTTATGGAGCTAAACAAATAGGACCAGAGTCTCCTTTCAAATTGATATAGATGAGAAAATAGGACAAATACAGATAAATATATGAAATTTCTCCAATACATGAATCCATTTCAGTACTTTCTTAAATAAAATAAAAAATGTTGTTGTATGAATTACTCACATTATAAAGTTTATTTTCTTCCCTTGTTCCTTTTTTTTATTCAACAAATAATAGATGATGATCCACTCTTTTATCTTTATTTTTCTAAATTATCCAAATAAAAAATGAGAGACTAAGATCTTTCATTTTCTTTTCCACTTATATATGAATCTTCAATTCAATATCATACTTGTGATGAATAATTTACATGGCACATTTTTTTTTATGGTATGCGTGTCACCGTGTGTAAGAGAGGAGTCAAGATTTGATTGTTTGAAACGGAAATCATTTACTTCAGGTACAGAATAATGTAGAAGATCAGAAGTCAGTTACTTCGTTTCATACATTATCTATATCTATATCAACAGATAAAAAAATTAACAACATATTATATGAATATATTACCACTGCTATTTTGTTGACTCAGGAGTTGTTTGAGATGACCTAAATAAGTGCACTTTTTGTCTTTTTACGAAAAGATGTGCAGAAAAATAGAGAGATGATATGATGAAAAAAAGATAAAAAGATAAAAAATGTGTATTTATTTAGGATAGCCAAACTTGGCCTCAGTATAAGTTCGCCTTGAATCAATACAAAGGATTCTCATCTGTGAGTTGAAGTTTAATATCAGACTACAAGATGTTGAATGCAGTTGCAGTTCAAGCAATCCAATGAGATAAGTGCTTATCAGATAGGCAGCTACGAATACCGTAAACAAACATCTTTCAACACAAAATGGTAATGTTGGGGATCATATCTTTCTCATTCAAATTTTATCATATTCAATGGCTATGCAAATGAGCAGCAGTTAAAAAAATCTGTTTTGAAATTTGTTGGACTCGGATCAACATAACCCGTTAGAACATGAACAAGTGCTATCACATTTCCAAGGCACAATGCCAACTATTTCGTGAAGCAACAGAGAATGAAGTGAACATGCTGTTCATTCTTCTAGCAGCCAGGCACTCCAATTGAATTTGCTACATCACCTCATTGGTTTCCTACTGCTTAACTTGTAATGCAGACTCAATGCGTTCAATGAGCTGGTTTGCATTTAAAGCCCCCTCCTGAATGTTATTAAACAGAAATGATTACAAAGAAAGCATAACTCTTGAATCTAGAACCCAAAAAAAATTCAAAATAACTAGTGCTAGAAAATATAGGATCCCCAATAGAGGATGGTGCTGACACTGTCAACAATGACAATTAACATTATTGAAATCTACTGTTCTAAAGCACTAACATTGCAGATATACAAAGCATTATTTGAGTAATTTTAAATAGAATCAAGTAATAATCATGTTGACATTACAAGCCGAAATGCCCAAAAGGTGGATCATGCCAATATTATCTTCTCATTCTAGGTGAAATATGCAATTACTTAGAAAGTGTGAAATCATGTCACAGCATTTCTCCCTTCCCCAGGCATGTGTGAGACAAAAACAGCAAGTCTAATATGATACCGTACAATCTAAGTTCAGATTCTTGACAAATGAAAGACTGCTAATTGAAAGAAATAGAATTGAAGTTCCACTTACAAAGCGATCATAGGGTTCTCCATCCTTAAATATGATGAAAGTAGGCAATGCCTCTATTTTGTACTTATCAGCAATACTTGGGTATTTCTCAGTATCAATTTTCACCACCTGGATCTTATCTTTCATCGAAGCACTAACTTCATTCAGAACAGGAACCATGAATTGACAAGGTCCACACCTGCAACAAGAGTTCAAGTTGAATCTTTGAATTTCACTTCACTTTGCTTCATACTGCCTAGTAGTGAAGAATTTTTTTTAGAACATGACACCCGCAAGGGTTCCCCATCTGAGATCTCCACATACTCACTACAATAAGTCAAGTTTACTTGCAAGACACCCATGGATTTGCAACATTTGCCAACAAAACAAGAAGATGCACAAGTACACAAATGACATGGTTATGCACATAATTATCACTAGGACAATTAAATAAAACTGCAATATAATCATATACCATCCTCAGTCATCTATTTAAAGACAGTAGATGATCATATAGACACAGTACAAGGAACTTACCAAGTTGCATAGAAATCAACCAATACAGGTTTGTCAGAATGTGCCAGCAAATCATCAAAGGAGGAAAATGTTTGCTTCTTGGCTTCGACCTAATTGGTGAAAATAAAAAATCAACCATTATTTTATGAGAATTCGAAACTGGTAATCAAGCAATACATAAACAAGACAAATATGAGGATGAAGTCCCAGAAAAGCTTCAAGTCAACTGTCCTGCTATAGCTGAATTTAACGACGACATTATTGTATCAACAATGGTTCCAAATTCCAATCGAAAATAGAAGTATACATGGGAAACTCACACTAGTATACATAGAAAGCAAGTTATGCCTTCAAATTGTAACTTATTTATTGACATACAATACAACTAATTAATCGGCAACATAAAATTTGTAATGGAAGGTATCTGATATTTGCAATTTCATACGAAAACATCGAAACTGGTAATCAAGCAATACATAAACAAGACATATATGATGATGAAGTCCCAGAAAAGCCAGTTTTCAAGTCAACTGTCCTGCTATAGCTGAATTTAACAATGACATTATTGTATCAACAATGGTTCCAAATTCCAATCGAAAATAGAAGTATACATGGGAAACTCACACTAGTATACATAGAAAGCAAGTTATGCCTTCAAATTGTAACTTATTTATTGACATACAATACAACTAATTAATCGGCAACATAAAATTTGTAATGGAAGGTATCTGATATTTGCAATTTCATACGAAAACATGACTGGATAGTAGAGATTCCAATTTAACCAGTCCCATTATATGCAGCAAAACAGAACAGGAAAATAAAAGAGTGGGAGAGTTTCCATCCTGCTCACTACTTTCTTCCTGCCCTAAAGTGAGCAGGAGATAAAGGGATATACCTTTTCCTCTAATGTTTTTTCCCTTCAAACAACAATTGCGTTAGTTTGCACTAGCACACTAGTAAACTTCAGGTATGTGGAACCCATTGCTCAAAGAGAAAAACTAGTATCCTTTTTTCTAGGTAACTTTTTCCAACCCTCCATCCATTCTTTTCCTCTCTATAATCTGTCCTTCCTAGCCTCCCATCCTCTCAATCTTCTCTCCCTCATACCAAACAAGACATTAGAGAGAACTGACTCACAGCTAAAAAGTAAAACACTTCAACCTTATTAGCTAATATTCTCAACGAGGAGATGACCTATTGAACACTACCTTCATTCAATCAGCCAGAAATAGGCCCAAAAGCAATGACAATTTTTGGACTCTCAAAATTCATGCCAGCTGATTTTAAACCCTGGATGAAGTGGCTAGTTATTATAGTTACTGTGGACAAAAGTGTAAAATTTAAGATAAACCAACTTCGCCTTCCTTAAATAGCTAACACTCTTGCTACATCGTTCTTGCAATTATTGCAACACAGACACCTTGACCAACTATCTTTAATAGAGGAGATTCTAAAGTTGCTCTAACCAAGAGAAATGAAGCAACAAACTTAAAATGCAGTACGCAACTAATTGGGAAATGATTTGTGGTCCCTGCACTCTCTTTACCAACAACTTCATGAAAGAGAAAAAAAAAAAAACATTTTCTATCAGACAAATTGTCAACCATCAAAATCCTTGCCTGCTAAAATAGACACTCGCTTGACACTAAAAGTACAACCTTAAGGGAGACATTCAAGCACCAATTTCCTCTTTAAAATGCAAACAATGACTTTAAGATAAATACAACAAAATGATTCCATCCCAAACCATGGCATTCAAATGCCAAGCACCAATTTCCTCTTTAAAATGCAAACAATGACTTTAAGATAAATACAACAAAATGATTCCATCCCAAACCATGGCTTGGCCTCTGGACAAGCCATTTAACTGCAAAATCTCAACCAAAAAAAAATTTGTTTTACAAATGTTGAAGTGTAAAATGGCTTGTCCAGAGGTCAACTGATCGACCTGTGCATTCTTAAATATATCTAAATTAGCAGAAATTGAATACAGAATCCTTACACAAGGTATCATGCCATAGCAAGAAAAAGAAGGCAGCAAAAGACCTATAGACTGATTTTTTCTATTTTGCCCTAGGCATTTAGAAGAACAATTACTCAATGTGTATGTTGAGTTCCAGCAACAATGTATTCTCACCCAATGTTACCAGAAAACGATAATAGTCTAGCGAATTACATATTGGTACACATGTTCCGAAACATGGTGCACTTTCGTTCTAAAAAAGTAAATTTAGTGATCCAAAGCAATTTCAAAAGTTTTTTTCAATATATGTCCTTAAATCTTATCTTAAGAGTAAAAATTCAAATATAATAAATTAAAATTTAAGGTGAATTAAGTTTTGACAAGACAAAAATATCAAAAAATTGGTCATAATGCTTATAGAAAATATTACATTTTATTGGATACCTAATAGTTAAAAAAAAATTACTCTAAAAATACTTTAAATTCTTAAGTATAATATATATAAGTCTTATACAAGTCTACCCCTATCGTACCACATTTTAGAGCATGTGGCATACCCGTACCCATTCCTATTCCTGTTCCCGTTCCCGTTCCCGTTCCCCGTACCAAAACGATCCACGTTTCAGGTAGCATAGTTCTCACCTTCACAGAGACAAACATAAGGTTGACCAAGGTAAGGCCATAATTGGTGAAAAGGGTATACAGAGATCCTACAGTGGGTGTATAAGACAGAATGATATTTAAGTACTAAGGGCAACATACAATTGTCTGTGTCTCTCTTTCATGATTTATGTGACCTAACTTTCCTCTACCCACCTAAGTCAACATCTGAAACCCACCTTCCCAAATTTTGACCTACCAACATTTCCTTAAACCCTAAACTCCAACAATAAGAGAAGGGCAGCCCCGTTGCCAGAGCAATAGTGGCTGCTGCTAGGTCAGAGCACAATCACTCAGTGCATCCAAAAAAATTTTACTCTGCCCCAGCAATAGAACTGCCCTTAGAGAAACTCAACAGAATTTTCAGACAAACTAAACAATGTAAATCTCGATAACAATAATTAATCCGACAAAATTATAAGCCTCTAAAATTCTCAATCAATTTGCACTCATCCAATACTTATTCACAGCTCAATCCAAGAATCTCAAGCTCCAAGAAGAAAAGTTGTAAAAATCAAGAGGGGAACACACCTAATTTATGTCATTTTCGTTACGACTGATTTTATTTTTCAATTAGGACCTTATTTTAGTTATGACTCGTCACATCTTTGGTATTTATGAATATGAAGTTATGCCCAAAAAAAAAAAAATCGTTAAAGTCTTTCCCAAATCAAGATACCACGCTCCAAATGAGAAAAAAAAAAAAAAAAAAAAAAAAAAAAAAAAAAAAAAAACTCAGAGAAATCACAAATTTGGTGCAAGAAATCGATAATTATTACCAGTGGAAGCATTCGAGGCCGCGAGCAGGAGGAGAACCCTTTGTTTCCGATTCGAATGAGCCGAAGCCGCCGAGGGAATTGCAGAGAAGACAAGTAAGACAGCTTTGAAGAAGACGAAGAAGATAAGCTGGTTGAGTGGTCCGAGTTCAGAGGCCGAACAGTGACCGCTGCGACAGATATCGCCATTGACGTTCCGAGAGAGACAGAGATTCCTAAACCTTCGGAGAGAAATTGGATAGAGAGAAGATAACAGCGGCGTGTGTCAAGCACAAATGGGATTGGCGGATATTTATGTGATTTGGTGTGGGTCAAGTGTACGATAACATATTAAGGCCAAGTTTGAAATAGTGCGTGAAGGATAAAAAGTTAAAAAGTTACTAAAAAAATTAAAAAATATTTTATTTTTATGTTTTGGGTGGTTAAAATTGTGTCTGATTTAGAGAGGGTAAAAATATTATTTTGCCCCTGTTTTTTTATTCCTTCCTCAACACAATATTATCCTTTTACCCGAAGATCCCCTTCCCCCTCTCTCTCTCTTTGCCTGTATCAGTCGAGTTCTACAGAGATAGCCACAAAAGGGGACAATTCGTCTGCGGAGATATCCACACCAGCGACTGCCGGAGATCCGTCGCAGCCTTCACCGTGCAGCACCGCAACAGCCGTTGGGAAGTCCGACCTCGACTCGATCGCAAATTAACAGTAACCGACGGCTGTTGAACAATTCGTCACCCAGATCTGCACCACTTCCGACCAGATCTACACCACGCCGGCCCGTTTCTCCCTGACTACAAGGTAACATCTCTTCCACGCAAATTAATTTTCTCACTCTCGCTCTCCTTTCTCTGATTCTGTTCCAAAACTTTTCCTCTTTTCTATCTCTCTTCTCTTATCTCTAACACCGAAACCCTCTCTTCTCTCTACTGAAACCCTCTATGAATCCGAAACCCAAACCAGTTCTATAGATCTGGTTGTAAGATGTTCATTTGGGTTCGGCGATCTGTTTCACGATCTAAGCATCTCTCACGATTTCGGTTCGTAGTTCACAATCGATCCATCTCTCTCTGAAGATGAACAAGACCAACTTTAGGGAAGAAGATGACGGACCTTGAAAACCTTTCCAAGTATTTCTTTTTCTGCAATTATATTTCTGCATATTTAGAGAAATTACTTGAAATTTATCTGAAGTTGCAATAAATTCTTAATTGTCGTTGTTGTTGTGATTGTTGTGTGTGTACAAATTGTTGTTGTAATTTTTGAATTTTGTTATGAAAAAATTATTTTCTATTTCATAGAGTTTTGCTGGAAAGGATGCAGATGGGAGAAATGGAAGAAAGAAAACCACTGGGATGCTGATCTGGAACTTTTGGCATTATAGCATGCAAGTGGATTACTTTTTTTGGCCCAAACTGTCATATTATGGGTTTCGTAGTTGTTTTTGCAAATCATTGGCAATGCTCTAACATTGCTAGGGTGTATGTCTTTCAATAACAGTGTGTTTGCCACAATCATCATTGTTATCCCTACCTGTATGATTTACTCGATTATGAAGCATACGTATATGAATGTTCAACTTTTATTTCATCACAAATTTGTTAATTTGATAATCAGACCAATCCAACTTTGCCTTATCAATACCAATGAATTGTTCGTTTCTTATAGACATTTATAGTGTCATTACATTTGGAAAAGTACACCGTTTGTTACTTTAACGATTCCTAGAAATTCCAACTACGGAGATGATTCATTTGTTCATTACATATGAAATTTTTATCAAATGTATTATTTTTTAAATGAATACATGTGCTAGCTTTATGGTATTGTCTTATTTAGTTTTTGTTAAATATGTTACTATTAGAAAATGACAATAAGGTATATTTTGTTTTGCTTCAACTATTTATCTTATTGCATTTTGAAGTGTGAGTATATTGTATTTGAAATTTTGGAATGTGGAATACAATTTATAAGATCGCAAAAGTATTTATGTGACTACAAGTCATACATATAGGATTTATTAGTAAATGGCCAACAATATATTACCCTATCTTAGCTAAGTAAGAGACACAAAAATAGAAATTACACACGAAAAAAAAAGAAATATATATATATATATATATATAGCTTCTAAACCAAAATTTTTTTTTGTTTTTGTTGATTTGTTTTTAATTTAAACTATTAGTTCATTTTCATTAACAAAATTAGATTAACAAAAATTGATGTTTGAACTATGAAACTGAATGTAGGATATACAAAAATAGATGTTTGAACTATAAAACTCAAGTTAATAGTAGTTTAAACTATTACACTATAATCTTTTGCCGTTTTGGCTAATTTAGCTCTGTTTCACAGTTGTTTATATGTTTTTTATTTTATTCGCAATATGAGTTTCAATGTTTTCAATTTTTCCACGTATATCATAATTGTTGTTGCATTGTAGTACGCAAATGGAGCAGTCCCAAACGCAGTCGACGTCTTCCAAATCTTTGCGCAAGCGTGGTAGTAAACAGACGCAGCAGCAGTCCGCAAACGTGCATAAAGCATCTTGGGACTCCGACACGGTGCGGATTTTTTGAAACTTGTTATCAAAGAGTTGGACGTTGGTTTCAAGGGGAGCTTCCATACAATGATAATGCATGGATATCGAGCTATAAGCAAGGGCTTTCTAGACCGCACAAATAAGGTGCATGACGTCAAGCAACTGCAGAACAAGTAAGCGTTGCTAAAAAAGGATTGGCAGTCGTGGTCGAAACTGATGGACAGCAGGCATGGGCCAACCAGCATCAGTTACAATGAAGCCACGGGTTTGATACAAGCATCTGACGACTGGTGGGCGCATTACGAAAAGGTAACATTTCCATTGAGTTTTACTTACGTCATTTACATGGATACTTAAACCGTTATTATTACAACTTTAATGACCTGGTGGGGTGTATTTCTATTGTTTTATGAGTTGCCCTTACGAACTTTAGTTTGTTCTATCTCAGTAGGTGCTCAATTTTTTGGCCAAATTACAGTAACAGAACAGTAGGTTTCCTATTTTCAATGCTTAAGCTTATTTTCGATGCTTAATTTTTTGGGCAACCTACTGTTGATTGCACTCAAACAGTAGGTTTCCAATCTGCTCTGGAAGTCGATCATAGGCTATAGAATAGTATATGTGTTCTTATTTTTTCTACAAAAATCCACATCCTGCTTTAACATGTAAAGGCAAATACACGTTATGACACCAGTGCTGGTTGTTTCCTCCAATTTTCTTCCAGCATTGAATGACAAAGATTATTTTATAAAACAGGATTTGTTTAGCTGAAAATAAGAGAAAAATACATTTTGCCAATCTTTATTCAATTAAAAAAATAAAGATTATTTCATAAAACAGGATTTGTTTAGCAATGCTTAAGAATTTGTTTAATCTGTCAACCCCAATTTGCATCCATTGCCAATCTGCTTCCTGTGTTTGCTCCCCATTATTCTAAGTTTCACTATCTGAGATGAAGTTCTTCCTATGGTTTTTTTTTTTTTGTTTTCCCCAGGTTGACAAGAATGCAATCAAGTTCAAAACAAAACCGTTGGAGCACATGGACCTCATGCGAAGGGTGTACGAAGGCGCTACGGTAACCGAAAAATATGCATGGACACCAGGTGCAGCGTTCGAACCTGTGGCACCCGATGATGGTACTTCGCCAGCGCCTGAAGAAGACTGCGAGGACAGCAGCGGGCTGCCCCCTTTCCAGCCTGCCGCGCAGCATGAACACACTGTGCACCACACTGTTGCGCAAGAGGATGGCACGCCGGCAACCGTGCACGCTGCGTCGTCGAGAATTAACGCTGACGACACACCAACTAGTGGTATGAACAAATGCAAATCACCAGGCCCAACACACCCGCAGCGGAAAAAAGGGTAGAGTGAGGGAGCTTCTCTGTTGGCGAGTAGTATGGAAAACCTTGTATCCTCCGTGAAATTGCAACAACGGCAAATCCGCGTCTCACATGATTACGCAGATTCGGCACAGTAACTCATTGAGAAGTGTATGACAAGGTTGTATTCGCTGGAAGGGCTGGATCCGCAAGACCCGCTAGTTCCTTTTGCTCAATCGGTACTTGACAACCTGGCAAATCAAGCCATAATGATGTCGATTCTGACAGACGCGGCTATCATTGCTTGGTTGCGAACAAAGAAGTCTCGTGAGCAATGCATCGGTGGCCCATCAGCAGCAAACCCCGGAATGGGTGGTGGCTGGTTCTGAGACCGTCCAGCAAATAATTTGTGTTTCTTTATTAATGTTTGTGTGTTGCTTCTTTATTAATGTTTGGGTGGTGGCTGCTTATGAATATTGATATAATGTTTCTTTAGTAATGTTTGTGTGTTGCCATTTGTTTTTTCTTCCCCTTCGAACAAACAGTTGGCCAATTATCCTTCCTTCCCAAAAACTATGGCATTGTTCGTGGAATTTTTAGGACATTATCAGTTGATATAATATTTGTGTGATGATGTTGATGTTGTAGTATATGCTTGTTGCTGCCTTTTTTTTTTGTGCATTTTTTAATTTATGTTTGTGTATTTCTTTTTTTTCTCTCTTCTGTTGTTCGTTTTAATAAGCAACTCTCCAATTAAGATCTTGCTTTTATTCCATTAGCAATTCATAGTTTTTGTGAGTTCATCGTTGAAAAGATCCAAAGCCTTTTAAGCCATTTTCACTATTTCTTCATAAATATTGGAATTTTCTGTTTTGTTGCCCATTTTACCAGAAAACCAGTCATGTTGTACTCTCCAGTGGGGCAAACAATAATTTGGCATTACCTTTTCCACTGATCTAACTGTTTTGTCGGCACAACACACAATTTTGTATACACCAATAATTTGGTGGCTGCACCAAAAAGAAGAGAATCCCTTTTTATGCAAGCCCCAATAATTTGTGTGTTGCCCAATCTGCATGGACAACACGTGAAGTTGTTGAAATTTTGGTTTCAACGGTCCCGGCACAATCTTGGTTTCAAAGAAGAGAATCCCTTCTTACGCAGGCCCTAAATTTTGGTTTCAAAGAAGAGAATCCCTTTTTGTTGATTTGTTGAAATTTTGGTTTCAAAGGTCCCACCACAATCTTTGCGCATGCTCATCTTTCATTTCTTTATATAAGACCACAAATCAGTTGAAATTTTGGCTTCAAAGGTCTCACCAGAATCTTTGCTCATCTCATCATTCATTTCTTTATATAACACCACAAATTAGTGTGGTTGTCTCCTTTCTTACCCTCGCCCTAACCTGCTTCTTTCATTGTCCAAAGTCGTTATAATTTTCTTGATAGGTAGCCTCGTACCGGCCAAGTCAAATTTTGGTAAACCTGCTTGGCTCTGTATATTCTGCGTTATAGGTTTCCAAAATGGCAGACGATGCAGGTCCTAGTTACACTGTGCCTAGTAATGCATCCCGGGAAGCTGTCGATGAAATTGCACAGGAAATGGTGGCCGAAACTGATCACAACTTGCTAGAGGCGTATAACAGTGTAGCTAGATATTACTACAACCATTATCACAGAGTGCCTCGAAATACATCAATACTTTCGGGACATTTATGGATGTATGAGTTATTTAACGGCCACCAAGGCCGGTTTGAAGATGCTGTCAGTATGTCCAAACCAGTGTTCATGATGTTATGCGACACTCATCATAGTTTTGGATTGACACTGCCACAGCGGGAGCATGGCGTTCTGCTAGAAGAGAAGGTAGCCATTTTCATTTGTGCATTGCAGGGAATCAAGATGAAAGATTTGCAAGAACGGTTCCAACACTCGAAGGAGACATTGTCATGGCATTTCCATGAGGTTTTGAAAGTTATGATACTGTTCACAGCGGTTCATAGTAGGAGTCTTACGCCTGAGCAAGTGCAACAGGGGGGCCACTCACATTTACAATCGCAACGGCGATACCGGCCATTCAAGGTGACACTGTTTCACAAAATTTTAAATATCACAGTGGCGACATATACCATGAATAATTATTTATAGTTTCTGCGTAATGGTGCGTTACAACAATGAGTATCGGTGCACTAGACGGCACGCACGTGATGGCTCGTGTCTCGGAAGAGTACGCCACTTCGTATTACGGCCGGAAAGGCGTCCCAACACAGAACATACTGGCCGTATGTGACTTCGATTTGTGCTTCACGTTTGTGTCATCCGGTTGGGACGGGAGCATACACGACAGTAGGGTGTTGCACTACGTGACAACCGAACCTAAACATCGCTTCCCGCACCCCGCACCTGGTAAAATTATATTTTATTTAACAAAGTAGTACAATTTTAAAATAACATAAGACAAATTACACATTCATACTTGCTATCGTAATTGAGAAAT